AATAATATATACATATACGAAAGATGTCCTTATGCTTGTGTACGAATCTACCCCAAATTCAAAAGAAAATAATTACGTTATTTTTTATAGAATTCATTAACAATACGGTAAAATTAATGATTGAAGTATAATTTGAAGACATTATACTTACTAGAAAAATATTGTTCTTGTTTATAAGTTTAATCAAAGATATCTTAAATTACTTGTCAAATACTTGGGAAAATTTATTCAGACAGCGCTAAAACATGTAATATCCTGCTCTGTCAGTTTACATAGTCTGACTAATATGAAATTTTGCTGGCATGTGGCCGCGCAATAAGACTACCCAAGTAAAAATTTTATATATAATCATATACGAAATTTGTCTCTATATGACCATATATGAATATATCTATATGATTTTATATTATGTTATATAATCATGCATAACTGTATACATATATTCATATAAAAATATTAAAAATAATAGTACCTCAACCGGGATTGAAACCTGGACCTTCCTATTCTCCGGTCGGTCGTCTTATCTTTTCGACTACCGATGTGATAATCTTTCTCGCAATAACTAGTATATATATTTGGAAGAACGTATGTTTTAAGGCGACGTGAATAAATGATTAAGTACCAGTAGAATTGCGAGAAAGATTATCACATGCCTTGGTAATCGAATAGATAAGGCGTCCACCTGGAGAGTAGAGAGGTTCAGATTCAAATCCCGGCTGAGGTAATTATGTTTTTCACAATAAGTTATTTTCACAGGATTTAATTGATGAAATAAGAGCATCGTCATCATATTTATTATATTGCCAGTGGTAATTTAATTATATTATGTATTTCGGGTTTTAGCTATGTTAATTGTAAGTCCGATTATGCGGCGCGCGGTTTATTTGAACTGATAAATTGTAAGATTCACACAATATAATATTATCGAGCACCAAGATTCGCTTGGACCGTATTGGCGGTAATTTTTCGTTTCTTGATTTGTATGTAGCATTAACAGTCTATCCTGATACTTAATTATTATAATTGAATTAGTGCAAATAAAATCAATAGAAAACGTTATCAAAATTGACAATTATATATGCAAAAGACTAAATGTAATAAAACAAATTTGATGAAATTTATATATCAGTAGATATATATTATATGTATTATGGTATAATACGCATTGTGAATTAGTATATATGTATATATACATATATAATTTTTTTATAAAATATATATAGATATAAATATAGATATAATATATATATAGATATAAAAATATTTTTTATATTATTTTTGTAATTTATACATTCACTATTTATATATTCATCATAAAAATATATTATTATTTATTTCAGAATTTTACCAGACAAAGCATTGAAGTGCGTATACGACTTTTTTGATTCCGGTGTTTATCCAGAGGATTAAAAAGTAATAAGATAATTTGAAATTTATAAATTTTATGATATTATTAGAACAAAACAAAGCGCGCACTTCGCGCGCGCCATTTATTCACTATCACTAAAATATAACATTATTTTAAGATGACAATTATAATTTTCAACTATTATAAATACATTTTATTAACCTGAAATAAATGATAGAGTAATTCTCAAAAAAATATTTGCATTAATGTTTCTAAAATATTTTTATCCTTTCTAAAAAAAGGTATGACATCGATACTCGCATATCTTGAAGTGTATAATTGTTGTTGCTTTTCCGCGATGCTCGATTGGTGCATGAAAATACTAAACAAGAGCAATGTAAAATTGGAACTATATATTTTGAAAAAGAGAATAACTTTTTCTTATATTCACTGCATATAGTATCTTATACAATAAGTGTAGCCATATCCCTTACAAAAAAATATGATTGGGAGCCAATAATATTATTGACCAATAGTTACTATTGGTCAACTGTAATTTGGCGAATAGTAACTATTGGCGTATAGTAACTCTTGGCGAATAGTAACTGTAGTACACTATTCGTCAATGGTTATACTATTCGCCAATGGTTAGAAGAATAATTACTATTAGTTAATAGGGTTTTTTATATATATTTTAATGAAAGATTCGTAAATACAATATATATTAATAACAATTTATTTTTAAAATAATACGTATATATTGTCTTTTACAAAATAAGTATTTAAATTTTTTTAATACGCAAAAAGTGGAAAATATTTTTTAAAATGTTTCTTTTTATTTTCAAGAAATATGTAGAAAGTAAGTATTTACGACATATAGTTAGTTTGCAATTTTGATTAACAATAACTTTGAATCATAACCATTGGTACGTCTCTCCAATCTCATTACTATTTATAAGCCAATGGTTACTTCCGTTTGTCAATCGTTACTATTAAATCACAAATTTTAACTAAGTTCGAATCGTAACCCTTGATGGTCTTTCCAATCATTACTATTCATAAACTAATAGTTGCGTTTGTTCGTCAATCGTTACTATGAGTTTCAACAGTAATCATTGGTCCTTCTAACCGTACTCTTTAAGCGTCAATGGCTGTCTCTTATACACATCT